AAGATTTTGCAAACTTGATTTCATGCGCACGCTCCACTCTCTTCTTATTTTTGATCTCTTTCTCTCCAACCCCCCCCCCCCCCGCCCACAATCTCATACAAATTTATCTTTCAAGGTTCACACCTCCATCTCCCCATCTGTCCATAATTCTTGTAACTGACCTACAATCCTTAACCCGTTACATAATGTTGCAAACTGAAATTGAACAGAGTCTCAAAATACCTTTATTCGTTGTTCGATACTATATGCTTGATCCACATCCTCTACCTTCTCTTGAACGGGCCGAGATTTCAGGGGGTCATTCACAACCGTCTTGAGAATGATGCGATCAAGTGTCTTCTGTAAAGCGATGGAAGTCAATTATATATTTCTTATTTTGAAGTAGTTTAGGAGCCTTTAAGATTGAAAAATCATTTTGTTTTGATGGTAATTATACAAATGGCAAACTTCTAAACTTTCATGACATTTAAAAAATAATAATTGTCAAGATAGTATACAAAGTGAGAGAAACATTAGACTTAAGAATTGAAATGTATAAACCTGATAAATTAAACTTACCTTTGTTCCATTCTTGGATTCGTTGATGTTGTTTCGACTGAGAATGGGACGGTTAGAAGAGTGTCTAAACCTCCCACGGACGAAACGAAGAAGTCCACACATTCTATAAAATTAAAAACAAGGATAATCTATTTATCTATTGCTTAATTATCTATTTCATAAGTTATTCATATATCTATTTTATTTACTTATTTTATTTATTTATTTTCAAATATTTGTTTATTTATTGATTAAAATGCAGTTACTAAAGAACTTTTTTCCAAAATGTAATCGTCCACCCCCACCACCTCTAGTCAAAACTCTTCTTCGGAGTATTTAGGAGGAAAAGAATCCAAGATCCAAGATTTGCTTATTCAGTCGTTTGATTATTGATTTATGCAATCATTGCAAGCCTATCTATCTATCTATCTATATCTCTTTAATCTTTCATCTATTTGATCTATTATTGATTGACTAATGTATCTATTAAGCCAATTAGTTTTTTCTTTGTTTATTTATACGAATAGAATAAAAGTGATCTTCATAATAGGTTTCAATGTAAGACAATAACACCTTTGTGTACACTTTTCTCAAGATGGTTGTTTCCCCAGGTTTCGTTGATGTTTTTTTTCCCTCTATCATTATCTTTTGGGTGTACTTTGTTTTGTCTTGACAGGTCTTCCACACTTTAAAAAAAAAAAAAAAAATCTTCATTTTCCTCCTGTGGTTGTTTTTGTTCAACCTTTCTACCCGTGTTACACATGTCAAACTACTATACTTAACTTTTTACCATCTTCTTTTTCACATGAATACTTTCTTTAGTGCAGTAATTCCGCTCTTCTTTATCTCCCGATTTTGATTAACATTTCTAGTCTTAATTCTTCTTCTTATTATTATTATTATTCTCCATCTTCATCATCATCATCATCATCATCATCATCATCATCATCATCATCATCATCTTCTTCTTCTTCTTCTCCTCCTTCTTCTTCTCAATAAACTCTTTTTATCTGTTTCTAGGATTTGTATAGTATGTCGTTTAGACCTCCGAAATTGCGTGTTTCATTGAATCTTGTTACTTTTTTTCTCTAAAACTGGCTAAATATATCAATATACATTTTCTTACCTGATTTAGTTATATATTTCGTCAGAAGTGTCTAAAAGTACTCTAAAAGTTAAGAAAATTCAGAAGAATTTCTGCGCACCTTTGTCTTGTTCGGCATACAAACAGAGTATGTTGATAAAACTTAACTCGTCTCCATGCCGCACAGCGACTCTATGCAAATGAACTGGTGATGACGTAAATTTCTTGGGAAGAATAACTTTCAACCAATCAGCGGGCGGGGTTTACGTGCGCAAAACTTGAAACGTCATCAAGCTTGATGAATATTCAGTAGTTTCGTTAATGCGCACGCGCACTTTAAGTGCGTGCCTACAGACGTAATAATAGGGCAAGGGCAATGCTCATGCGCCACCTCCCTTGCATGTTCCCCTTCTCTCCTTTTCTTTCTCTTTCTCTCTCTCTTTATTTTCTCCCACCTTCTCCCCTGGTAACGATTTCTTTCCTTTTAGTATATCGCCTCTTTAGTCCCACAGCCAAAGGTTGTCTTTATCCAAACATTAATAGGTTATTTATCATCCAAAATATACTTCAGTGCTTTTCTCTCGTTTTACAGTCCCGCTTTTGTTTCTTCTTCTTTCTGTCCCCTTCGCTAGCAGCAGGTTGAGGTAGATAAACAAGCTCCGCCTTTCGACTTTCCCGTTCTCTCTCCATACTTCCTACCTTCTTTCTCTCAGCACAACGACCCCTCTTTAACTAATCAGATTAAAATATTAATATTAAAACATTGATAAATAGATTAATAATGAATTAACACAAATTACACGAATGCACTAGATGAAACATGTGTGATTGTGCATAATTATATGCATTTATTGAACAATAATGATTTATTACTTATGGCAAAAAATCACTTGAAAAAATTGTTGTAGACTTACAAACCCCAACATTGTTTTTTAGCTAGGTCAACCACTCGTTTAGTACTTCAATGCATTAATCATTTTATTGCTAACCTAGCACAATGAGACAAAATCATACATTTTATGAATGCCACTCTTAGTAAATATTGGTCGGTACTACATACAAACAATCATAAAACTTGATAGAATAATTTGTACTTGGTATATATATACAACAGTTTATAAAATCTTATGTGCAAAGTAATCAAGCAATTAAGTAAAAGGGTACTATGCATTGTTTCGTGTTTTTTTAAAGGCAACAAAACATTGATAACAAAATTATTTGCAGCATTACCATTCTTCTATCATGATTAGTGTATTCATCATCACCAAGATAGAACCACAAGTGACAAGATACACATTATATTGCATACAGACTGTTGAGAGGAAGAAGGACATTAACTCTGTATAATTAATATGAGTTAACGTTCTTCTGGCTCTCAACAGACGACACCAGCATCATTTTAAAAAATCTTTCATCATCTGTATTATTCAACATAAAAAGTTAAAACCGATTATCAAACAGTACAGGAACACACATGAAACAATTTAAGAATGACAGATTAGCAGAAAAATGCATATTTACATGTAGGCCTATATAGAACTCTAATAAATGACTATATTAATATATGTAATGATGACGTAGATACTTATGATAGATTGAGAGTAGACATGTGATGAGGTATTCATTTTTTCTTAACATGTAACTCGTCATAGAAAGTATTATATAACATCTAAGTAGATCATTGTCATTTGATTGGAGGATTGTCGGTGTTCATGACGTTCAATGAATAATCTATTGAACGACTATGTCAATGAGCGTGCATTTTTGGTTATATTCGCGGTGCATTTTTGTTCTATTTAGTGTGCATTTTTTGTTATATGCGATCCGTCATCATTCTATAAAGTCGGACACATAATACACATCTAACTGAACTATATATCTAATTGTATGATAAATTTGAAAATGTACCCGTTTGAGACCGAGTCACGTCTTTCAGATGGTGATGTTAAAGGTCGGGTCCCCAGATGTAAATAATCATATCTGATTGATACACGTCTTTAAAAACCCAAATAACACACACACACACACACTTTAGTTGTATAATGACACAAGTGCCAACCTGATACATACCAAAATGCCATTCCTGAAAACGAAACCATAATTAGGATGGAATATCACAACATGAAAGTAGTGTGAAGAATACAAGTTTAAAATGTCATACAATTTCTTTACAAAATTAAAGGTTACATACACGTACATTACGCACATGTAATTAAAATTAATAATCAGGTCATTTTGTCGAGAATCAGAAGGACATTAACTCTGTGTAAAATGACACAGGTTAAAGGTATAGACCAGTTCTGGTCATGCAATTGCATTGTGAAAGAAACGTTGTGGAATCGATCAGAAAAGGTTGATCATCTAGCATATAAGTATTGGTGTGTACTGCAAGGTTCTGGAATCATCAAAATGATAAGAAATTTGGACCAGTCTTGGTAAAGTTACAAGCACTGTACACAGAAAAATGTAAATGGGACTACCTCCACACTTGCATTATATCTATCAGGTCCAAATAGATATAATAATTACCAAATATATCAATAAGTAGGCGGTTTCTCGGCAAAATTTGCATGATCACGTATTAGTCAAAAAATATTCTGTCACATGATTGGTAATAAGAGCTTCCATTTCCTCTTTTGAGAGGGGGGCGTTTCCAAAACTGGTCTTTACCTTTAACACCCTTCTGACTCTCGGCAGACAAGTATCCTTGTAGAGGTTCAGCTTATTGCTATAAATCTCCCTGATCAAACAATCAAATTTATTATCTTTTCTAAAAACATGATTGAAAATGCTTTGGAAAATCAACTCCGGTACAATATCAATATCTTATTGTACATCCCAAGTCGAGTGGATATGTCACCGGACTGCGGATCGCAAGGTCCGTGGTTTGAGTCCCGCCGCGGCACTAATGTCCTTCGACAAGACATTGATTTACATTTGCCACACTCGACCCAGGTGAGTTTAATGGGTACCTGGCAGGAATTAATTCCTTGAAATGCTAGAGCGCCATAATGGCAGCACGGCTAAAGCTGGGGTAATAATTTCCAAATTTATTAATGTGCCTTGGGCATCCCTTGGGTTGGATATGTGCGCATTATTATTGTTGCTATTGTTATTATTATCCTCACATTCAGAATTTCAGATTATACAATATGTGATTTCAAATTTTGCACATTTCAAATGGTGATATATAAGACTACTGAATTTGCCCTCAATTGAATTTTTATTAATAATTGTAATAACAGAATTAATTAATTTTGAAACATGATATATACATGGCATATATAAAATACCAGATAAAAATAAGTACATTTGTGACGATACAATACTAAATATAGATGGAAACTGACTCAAATAAAAAGAATAATATCACATGCTCTAATATGGTTTATGACAGCATAAGTGATGGACGTACTTCATGAATACCTTTAGTTTGCCCTCTTGAGAAGAATACTTCTATCTGTGTATCAGAGAATGTGCCATTGGTGAATAAATGAATAATGATTGCATAACTTTCATGAGCACAAAGTATTCTTCTTGATTGGTTTTTAAACTTTTGGTACAAATGACCTCCATTTGCCTATGCGCAGATTGTATCTAAGAGCTGGCTTATTATCATGCACAGGAGATTTGGTAGTATCCTCTTTGATAAACTGAAGAACAAATAGAAACAAAAAGGGGGCACTGACTACTGCATATAATGTGGCTTTAACACACATCTATGTGAATACGTGTAGGACCATTATTGCGTACAGCTACATTTTTTCATTTCCACTAGCTATTCATTTAACACGCACACATGAAAATAAAACGCTGCTGCTAACCGTGGCAAATTTGAACAAGTCTGAACTCACAATTACAAAAGTGTCTATGTATTAGAAGATCTTAAATTGTGTAGCAGTGCATTTATCAGTCAAAATAGGATAACAATATCATTATTACTCCAATAATCATAGTCACTATTTGAATTAAAAAATAAACATACCTCTGTTGCACTTTGGCATGTGGGTTTATATACTAGCAATATCTCAATTAAAAACATTAAAAATTTGTAAAAAATATAGATTTGAATAGACAAATTGGCAACAACATCCTAGCCCCGTCTGGCTGGGACAAATAATTTCTCTAGGTTGGCAAATGGGAACTCAATGAAGAGAGCCATGACGACTGCCGCTCCGTAGGACATCACAAAGTATCCCACAAAGTAGGTAGGCTGCAGAAGAGATACATCAGAGAGGAGTTTGGGAAGGAATTGACAAGATGAAAGAAACGTAAACATATGGTAAAATATTGAATTTGGATTTGAATTTGAATTTATTATTAAGTCATCAACCAACATAAAAAATCAATATATGCTTCATCGTTTTTCACATAACATAATTTGATTAAATTTATGTATGAAGGTAAAAAGTATAAAGAACTGTTTTTATATTTTCAGGGGTGATAGTGAGCACTAAAAAAAAAAAGGTATTTTGTTTTCCCCTCAACCACGCCCCCTTGAGTAAAAAAAAAAAAAAGAGGATTCGCGGGGAAAAAATGGCGTCTAACAATATTCCCCCCCTTTCGAGTGAGAAAATTGGGGAAAAAACAGGGTAAAATAGGGAAGAATAGAGAAAATAAGAGGGAAGTCGGGAAAATCAGGATAAAGTAGGAAAGAAAAAAAAATTGGTAAAAAAAACGAACATCGGGAAACCGATTTAAATCAGGTTTTTATCAGGCCTGTATTTTGCAAGATTACTCCCTGCCACTTTGAAAGGCAGTGGAATGGAAACTAGCAAATAAGGGTTGTGATACCAAATTGCCAATTTGAAGAGTGATCAAAATTAATATATAAAAATGCTTCAAAAAGTTAAGAAAATCATCATTGAGACTGAAATTAAATATAGATATAATATATGACAAACAAGGCTTTTTTGAAGCCACATTAAGAATATTCTACTAATACAAATTAATGACAAAATGATTGTATTGGTATGAGCTTGATTCACTAAAGCTGAAGGTGGAATTAAAAAATTAAAAAACGTTATTTCTTCTGTGACAGCTATTCCACAGAAATAAATATGCATAGGATGAGAAGACAGAAAGAAAGTATCCACACACGCAGAAACAGTGAAATTAAGTCACGAAATGTCAGTACACTGCTCTTTCTTGGTATAGTAGATTTGCTTCATCAGGAGGAGAAAGAGGAGAACTTACCATCAATGGTAACTTTGCCATCAATGGTAACTACCATGGAAACCTTGATTTTGTTGGCTGTTGATCCCTGTTACCATGGTAGTTACCATTGATGTCAAAGTTACCATCAATGGTAAGTTTTATGCAACGGGGCCAGGAGGAGGAAGAGGAGAAACCAGGGAAAGAAGAATGAAGGAGGATACTTACTTGAAGCCAAAGGGACGCCATCTGGGTATTCTTGACGTTTCCTAAGAATATATAGATGATGATCGGATGGAGAAGATAGGCGGAGTACGTCACTCTACTCAGAGGCAGCCAGAAACTCCAAGATAGGATGTCATCAACCCAGCCTAGATTGTCAAACAAAATTGACAAGAAATAACAACATAATATCAATGTACATAATTATAATTTGAATAAAGGATTTTGAGCCAATCAAAAATCCTTTTTACACTATGCTTTGCATAAAATGACCATGATGACCCTGTGATTCTATTTTGATATCTTATGGTTTGTGGGAAGTAACCGCACAACTGTGTAGTGTTCAGTCATTGCATCTCATGGTTTGCTATTAAAGCTTAGACAATAGATGTACATGTGGACAGCCCTTGCAATTTAAAAAATAAAAATAACGAATTCTCGCTACCCTAAATAGGTACGAAAATCTCGAAATTCGCGAGACGAGGTAATTTTCACTCTCTCGGGTCGTCACTACAACTTCCGGTATAGAGTCCCATCCCGCTGGCGCTAGCGCCTGTGTTCGCTGTGCAGAGTTTTCACGCACGCTAAAATCGATGCCAATCAGTGTAATTTGTACAGATTATAATATGCAATGGAAAGCTTCGGGCAGAATTAGTGACTTTAGCACAAAAGGCCGTTAAACTCTACCGTGAAAGAGAGGGTTGTGATCACGAACGCCTGCACAGGAAGCTGAAATGTCGAAAAGCTATCCCATAATGCAATGCGCGTTTTCAGGATTTTCCCCGGATCTCGGCAGAATCGCTATTTGGGGTAGCGAGAATTGTGGGGGGGGGGGGGGGGGGAGTAAAGACACGATAAACTATTTTACACTGAACTTAATGTCCAAGATAATACATAAACATGCAGATGTGATGGTGATAATGTACATGCAGCACCTAAGTTTCAAACAATGACTGATAATAATAATTATAAAATTGAAGAGTATTCCATTGTGGGACACAAGGGCTTATCCAATAGCTTAGACTATTTTATTCCTTTCATGATGATTCATGAAACGAGCTAGTTAGCTTGTGTGATATACATATATACCTTTGTATCCCATTCAGAGCCATTCAATATTACAGTATATATCTATTTCAGGCATTTTGACAGTGAAATATGAATGCATGCTGTACTTGTTATACTGATACTGGTTCACTTTGAATGAGGGCCATAATCATCATCATGGTATACTATTTCTTCCATGAACAATCATTTTTTTCAAAATGCAGCTGTACTTTAACATGCCATTATTCCTTATTATAGGATACTTGTTAATTTTAGGACGATATATAGCTTGTCCTCAGAATCTTCCCCCTATACCCCTAAAATAGAAAAACTGGGGAAAGTTTGCTTACCTCCGTAACCCTCTCTGCAGGCAAACACGAGCCAGGAAAGGGAGACTGCCCAAGCGAAACGACTCAGCATCTCATAGAGGATCGACCCTGCCAGGGTCAGATCACCTTTGTATGCTCCAAGGAGCCCATACACACACGACATACCGATCACCGTCGCTACAGCCCAACCCAGTGATACTAAGGCCTGGAGAGAAGCAAAGACAAATAAAGAAAATATACAATATAGAAATAAATATATTAGGCTTGAGTCGGTACGGTCGATCACACCGGGACCCGACCGTTGCCGTCGGGTCCCGGTTTTGTTTTTGAGAACCGACACTCCGAAAAAAATAATGAAACATGTAAGAAATTGCGGTTTTGCACACCACTAAAATCATTCCACCTTAAAACTTAAGTATTTAATTGTTACCAATCATATTCTAGCTCATCCTGAATCAATCCGAACTGCTGATATAAATATGGGTTGCAAAGCAGTTCGCCCCATGGGGTTGTTGTTGCCAGCTGCTAGCTAGCTACTATACTGGCCGGGTCTCTCGGCAGGATAATTAAATCAGGTTGAAAGAAACATTAATGTTTGAATAATAAAACGGCCTTCTAAAAAGTATTTCTTTGCAACATACCGATCGAATAATTTTTAAAAGACAAAATATATATTTTTTCTTTGACTTTGAACACCGCATGCTTCTTTTAAAAGCTGAAAATTACTTAGTAATCACAAGAAGTTTCGATACGGATAGCTGTTGCAAGGCAAGTTCAGACTAGTCTCGGAAAAATGCGCAGTGTTCCTCGTCGTTAGCTGTAATGCGTGCCAGAACGAACCCAAACAAAGACGTGATTGTAACGAGAAAAAATCATTAAAAACTACGAGAGCACAATTGGAAAGACAACTACTCAAAATTATCGTAAGCAGATACATATCTTGGAGGAAGAATACAATAGTTGTCCAAGAAAAGCCACAGAAACAGTGATATTTAAGGAGTTACTATAGGTACAATCATTATCGGAATGGGCCTTCTGCTCTGAATTACACGTGTTTAAATTAAACACGAGGCTAGATCGAAAACAAATACCGCCCTCTACGGTAAAAGCAGTATAACAAAGTATTCGAGTATTTGCAGAAGGCCCCTTGCGATAAAAATGTACCCAGTTACTCCTCGATTATCACATTTTCTGTGGCATTTCTTGGGCGATTATTGAATTCTTTGTCCAAGTAATGTATCTGATTATGGTAATTTTGAGCAGTAGTTCTCTTTCCAATTGTGCTCTCCTAGTTTTGAATGATTTTTTGTTACGATCAAGTATATTTGTTTTGGTTCGGTCTGGCACGCATTACAGCTAAGAGGTGCACTGCGCATTTTTCCGTGACTAGTCTGAACTTGCCTTGCAACAGCTGTCCGTATCGAAACTTCTTGTTGTGATTACCAAGTAATTTTCAGCTTTTAAAAAAAAGCATGCAATGTTTAAAATAAGAGATAAATATTTCTTTGTCTTTAACAAATTATTTGATCGGTATGTTGTAAAGAAGAATATTTTAGAAAGCCGTTTTATTATTCTAACATTCATATTCTTTGACCCGATTTATTCAACCTGCATGAATCAAAATGGCTGCTCGAATGTTGTCTTTATATTTTTGCTCGAGTTTTTTTATTTTTAGAGGCACGATAATGCCACTAAACATCGCCAATCATGGATGAAAAATAATGTCAAATGGAAGAATATACCAGTCTGTGCCGAGGTATGCATGTGTTGATTTATTTGACTGATAAAAAAGGTCACTTTTAAGGGACATACTGATGATATGCGCTTTTTATAGAGGCAAGTGACAAATCCTGCGGGCTGATTTCGGGACACCGGGTCCCGATCGGTGCAAGGCCGTTGGGACCCGGTTTATGAAAATCCCGACATGACTCAGGCCTAAAATATATTGCTTCGGAGGGTATTAGTGTACAACAAATTCATGTTTGGGTGTTCAGTAGTGAATATCCAATGCATGCAGGCTAATGTCACAATGGGATAATGAACGAGACTTGTTGACTTTATTATTAGGTTCATTGTCATGCTAAATGATGATGATGATAATGATGACATGTAATGCATTAAAGGTATAGACCAGTTCTCATCATGCGATTGCATTGTGAAAGAAACGTTCTGGAATCATAAAAATGATAAGAAATTTTGCCCAGTCTTGGAAAAGTTACAAGCACTGTACACAGGAAGATGTATATGGGACAACGCAATATCTATCCATTCCAGATAGATAAAATAACTTACCAAATATATCAATTAGTAGGCGGTTTCCCGGCAAAATTTGTATCATCACGTATTAGTCAAAACATATTCTTTCACATGATTGGTAATAAGAGCTTCCATTTCATTTTTTGAGAGGGGGGGGGCGTTTCCAAAACTGGTCTATACCTTTAAAGTATTAATGATGATGACACGCAAAATGACTGCGTGTCTTGGATCTGCGCAGGTACTTACAGGATTAAGACGAATCCTCCTGTCCCCTTGTTTATACATGAGATAACCCAGAATCATTCCTACGAGGTACGGTGGGATCCGACAGTAAGGCTTGCCGTAGATCACCGAGCTGAAGTCCGCTCCGGTGGCTTCCACACCAGGTATTGCTCTGGAGGGTGAGAGTGAGATAGAGAGAGAGAAAGAGAGAGAGAGAGATAGATAGAGAGGGAGAGAGAGAGAGATATAGAGAGAACCAGAGAGCGAGAGAGGGGGGGGGGGGGGAGAAAGAGAGGAGAGAGAGAGAGAGAAAGAGAGAGAAAGAGAAGGAGATAGAGAGAGAAAGAGAGGGGGAGAGGGAAAGAGAAATATAAAGAGAAAGAAAAAGAGAGAGAGAAAGAGAAAGAGAGATAAAGAGAGAGAGAGTGAGAGAAAGAGAGAGCAAAAGAGAGGGAAAGAGAGGGAGAAAGAGAGAGAGAGGGAGATAGAGAAAGAGATAGATAGAGAGAAAGAGAGCAGAAAGAGATATAAAGAGAGAGAGAGAAAGAGAGAGAGGAATTAGTTTGAAAATATTTATATTTTAATATTCCTATCTTTCAGACTATTCACTAAAGTCTCGTTCTGATATGACGCAGTGACAACAACAACAACAACAACACAATTCCCATCATCATGAATACAAAGCCGCTATTAAAGATCAGAGAGGATTGGGTTCAAGAGAGCAATGCTCTCCCACATGTTGGTGCAGGCCTTTTGTAGTCTTTGGGTGATAAATCATACAAGACCTGTCAGTCACGAAGCAATCAAAACACTTTCACTGATCTTTAAAACCATCTGTTATCATGTGAATACCGGAGAAGCAACAAATTCTGGATAAAAACTCAAGAATATCTTTAATCTCCACACCGTGTGGATTTATAAATTGATTGTTTTGATACATTGAAGAAAAAAAATGGTTATACTTACATTCCATTTGCCCCGAGTTTGTTTATTCCGACCAGGGCACCGGTGACGGCAAAGCTGCCCGCGAGAAGAACTCCTATTAAGGAGAGGCCTAGCCATGGGAGACTGAAAGAGATAAACATCAGACATGCTAGTCTTTATTGGCAGGGTGGATTTAGTGCAGGTTTCAATAAGCAATAATTTGAAAGGGAAATAAAACAAGCAGTCTATGAAATAGACAGGTGGTTTGCCCTAGTGCAGGTTTCAATAATAATAATAATAATAATAATAATAATAATAATAATAATAATAATAATATGTTTTGCATGAGAAATAAAATCATTTGAATTTGAAAGTATTTGAAAGGGAAACAAAACAATGAAAAGTCTATGAAATAGGCAGGTGGTTTTTCTATGCAAGAGGTCACTAAAACATGTTTCACTGTATATATGACATTTTGTTTTGACATATCACGACCCTTGACCTACTTGAAGTTTTGTGACTAATGGTGTCTCTCAGGGTTGTCAAATATTTCATTTTAGGCAAAGAGCATCATGCCTTTGTCAATAGGGTTTGTATTTTGGGGCCATTTCTTTAAGTATGAGAATCAATGGGAATTATTAGGAGGTCATTTTGGGCATAAATTAAAAAAACTATTAAAAACATCTTGCACAAACTGGAAGAATCAAGGGGAGGAGGAGTAGGGATAGAAGATGGATGAGTAGCTTAAGGAGTGGGATTTCTGAAAGTGGAATTGATCACGGGAGAATGAATTACTTCATAGAATATGTGGCACTCCATGATGATGGTCACCAACGTCTCCGGATATGGCACATAAAGAGAGATCAAAATAGGCTAACCTGAGAAGAGTATACAGGCCCGGCAGTTAATTGGGTATGTATAAATTTATTTTAAAGCAAAATAATAAATATTTTTAAAGAGAGTTAAAATGAATACTCACAAGTAGAGAGGAACCAGGATGAAGGGACTGATAATGAAGAATTGCATGTCGTTTGCAAGGTACCATACCCATCCTATACACTGCATTGGGGAAAAAATAGATTACATGAGCTTAAAGAAATAGTTGAGTTCTGGGGAGAGGTGAACAATAATTTGTGAGCGTTATCATTGTTATTATGCAAGCGTGGAAGAACATCAGATAAAACATGTTCCCTGAAAAGCATGGCTCTTCAAATGCCTTAATATTCTAAATATGGCATGTAACAGCACACAAATCAGGACAGATTTTTATGCTACATGTTTGTGAAGTCCCAAATACATCCTTCTGTGTACAGTGATGGAAACTTCATTTACCAAGAAAGGGCCAAAGTTTTTTCATTTTGATGATACCAGAACCTTGCAGTACACACCAATACTTACACCAATCCGCCAAATGACTTTTTGTTTTCCTTTCTTCAAATTCATTTTAATCACTCATGCATGAAATATGGATTTTACGAGTTGCATCAAATGTAGGAGGAGGATGTAAGCTTTCCAAATATGTGTCATTTATTAATTATAAATGTGACTAAGTTATGATAAAACATCGATAATTCTCGGTTTCGTTTTTTCTGGGATGCACTGTATGATCAACCCTTTCTGATTGATTCCACACCTTTTCTTTCACAATGCAATTGCATGACCAGAACTCAACTTTATCTTTAAATTGTTTCCAGGACTATACGCATTACCTCCTGGGACCCGTATCACAAGGCCTTTTTTCAATGACAAATGACAAAAAATCAGTGACAAATCTGCTGATAGCCATCCAGAAGCTAGGATTTCAGTAGCTTATAAATTTGTGAAATGGGGCCCTGGACATGTATGTACTAACAAGCGTCATCTAAATTGTAAGAATGTGAATAACATAAGCCGTTGCTAGGTAGGACAAACATTATGGCTTGGCTTACATAACAACATATAATAGATGCAAATTTACATTAGCTGTTGCTAGACCACTAAGCCAACACAACCAGTCCTTTAAAACAAAATTCCTGCATCGAAAAGTCATTTGAAGTCAAGCACATGAATCACTCGACTCTAAATTCTCAATCCTATTTGGTTTCACTGCCAGAACGGAACGATAGGTACATACAATCTAATGGTAACTCTTTCTGAGCCAGCACATTTTTTGGACAATTTTTATAAATGAACTGTCAAGTGAATGTTTTTTTAATCATAATTCAATCACAATGATCACCAATCAAATTCATAGATGCCAAGGGTTAATACAAAAAAATAAAGATGGATGGCTATATACCTCATGCATGAAGCTCTGTGGATAGAAGTTGTTGATGTAAAGGATGTTGGTCCACCAATACTTGATGCAGCTGTCGGTGTTCTGGAACGACCTCCAGAGGGGGCCGTCACCCACCCACGGCTTGATGTACATCCAGATGAGCGTCGTGATCAGAATGGCCGGTGTCAGACTGTTTAATTGTGGAGAAAATCGAGACAAGAATCATGATTTGATTAGCGAAATGTAGTGGCCCCCAAAATGCAAAATCCTGTACTGGTCAATACTGAACACTTACAGCATACTTAACTTCAACACTGCACTGCACACTACACCAAAACCCAATATCGAAACTCTAAAGCTACCCCCAAAATTGAAGTGTGACCTATTTTTTGTAATCTTCAATAAAAACGAGAGCCTGGGGCAATTATTGCTGGAGCATCACCTACTTAAATTTTCCACATAGAAACTGACTATTAACGTTTTCGTATTCACTGCTGAAGAGAATTGAGTTCGGACTTAGCCTGAATCGATAGCTAATCACTTGATCCACACCAAAAATCTTGTTACCCTTCGTATTTCCAATAACGAGAATGCATCACATCTGCTCTGCGCATTTGATTCCTTTGCTGTGCATAAAGCATGCCTAAATATCCCACACTTGACTGATTTTGTCCCGCTACTTTGACTGAAAACTTCAAGCAAGTCTATGAAGAGATATTTCCATCAACATTGAGAAGTGCAGATAGCGTTCATATTATGAAGAATCCACTTCCTGTCCAATATACCAATTCAATTGCAGTCTCAAAGCGGATCGAGAAGTCAGCATTAGGTGCGGAAAGAGAGATGCTGATAGCATTAGAATTAGCTTTAGGGTCCGGACCGGCCAGACTTCATCCGGATTTTCTCCTCTCCTTCCCCAAATATGAAGAAGTTTTAAGATACGTCTTTATCAAATAGATCTGTAACATACAGACACTACGTGCACCGTCTCCGTTGACGAGACTTACCGCCAGTATCTATGGAAATAGAACCATGCCCACGGGATCTTCCCGCTCGTCTTGGCCATCTTCTTCAGCGTGATATAGGTCAGCAGAAGACCGCTGTGGAGGTCAAAGGTCAAGAGTAACATCATGTAAAGTAAATATATGTTGAAAATTAGAAATGTGACAAACTATACCTCTACTGAAAGCTAGGAACGTTTGGAAGATGGATCAATAACATGCGAGACCCTCATTTAACTCAGAAAATAGTTGGAGCTATGTGAAACACCCCTCCCATAATATACGTATCAAGCTATGAAGCGCTAAGAATATCAGAAATACTTTGATGACATCATGCAGTGTGTGAACACAAACGTGAATACACCAGTATACTGCATAAAACCTGCATGTTTACAGAAAATATCCAATAACAGAGGAAGCATAGTGTCTGGAGCTTGCATAATTATGTACACTAAATGAGTATGTCGTATAACCTTTGACATCATATGACCTTTGTATGACCTTTGTATCACCTTTACATTCACATCCCATATACATCAGTTAATCATACTACAATTAGATATCTTTTTGTGCCACTACCATTTGCTACACAACCAAACTAGTGCATTTCAGGTTGTGAACAGGGGGGTGTTTCACAAAAATTTTAAGTTGAACGCCGTTAGCATCTTTGAAAATATATTGTAAAAGTTATTTAAAAGGCAAAAAATATACAGTAGATTTGCGGGTGCACCATGTGAGAGAGAGAGAGAGAGAGGGTTGAGGAGTCCTGAAAAGGACTCTGACTCAGTAATCCACTTGGGGGTGTGGTAGTCCTGAAAAGGACTGTTTGTTATCTTTCTTAGCATATAGTTCTAAGGAGAACTATAGCGCTTGGAGAAAATGAGTGGCTCGACGTTTCGAACAGGTTGACTATCCGTCGTCAGGACGGCAAAAAATGTTGATACAAATCATTCATATTTTCTATTTTCATGGGAGATTTCATGTTCTTGATGTAGAATTTATGAAAAGTCTAAAATACTTGAATTTTTGCTTTTGAATATATTTCATTATAAGGCTACAAATGGCTCTCCATAAATTTAAAGTCCAACTTTGAGTTAAATTTGACTTAAAATCTTTGTGAAACGCCCCCCGGTTTCTATTACCTCATAAAGAAGAAGCTGTCTACAGAGAAAAAGGCATTTCCTACAACTTGGAAACCAAACGTTTGATACCAGCCAACTGCAGTGGGAAGGTTGCCTGTAGGAATAGAACAATGGAAAGAAAACAAAATCAAAATAAAGCGTTAAAGTGTACCAATCATCAAAAATTATTTAGTTTTGTATGTTAGTAGTTCCATGCAATAAATATTATAGTTAATAATAATACTAATTTGTCTTGTTTACCCAGGGTAGCCTCATCAGTATTCATACGTACTCCCTGGACTTCATATACTACTTTTGTAAAGGCATTTTTCAAGTTTAAATACTTTCTCAATCAACACAAAAGCGACTTGTGAGCAGACTACTTGACGCACCAATACTCTCTGGCATAAAATGGTGCCCGCACAGAATCTAGGTCCCACTTAGCTTCCATGTGTGCGGTTTTATGTTATTCTCTATTTTCTGAATCATACTCTTTATCTGTTAGCCCATAGAAAGCCAGGTGAAGTTTACTAAGGTATATTTTATACATTTTAGTTGTAAAACAATTATTTCTTAGGTGTTGGATATCCTTTAAAGCTCATTATCACCTCCATGTACATGCTGATTCTGTCTTTCTGTATTAAAGACATGATTCAATTATCCCTTCATGTGATCCAAAAATTTAAAGAAAAAAACTTTTCAAATGATCATTGAATGTTTCTCTCTGAAGTCCCCATAATCACACACTTCTTCATCAGTGAATTTTAAAGCCACACTGTCCTACTTGTAGCTTCTTCCTCCCTCTATATAGAAAACAATGCCTAATCGGTGACCATAGGTCCCTCATGATCCTCTTTTTCTTATGTTAATTGAGAGCTGAGTTGATGAGATAACCACCTGTCCAGTGACCTTGCAGGTTGGTCTAATCCCTCCTATAAACTAGTACAGATAAGCTTGAATGATTAGGAAGCTAGAAGGGGTATGTTGATGTTCTGTACATCATCAACAGGATAACTCTTAATTTCAATGCACATGCTGTAGATAAACGTAGGTAATCTCCATATGCAGAAATTTGTCAATCAGCTGGGAACATCACCGTAAAATCACAGATTTCATCAGGATTCTTTATAATTTTGATGTGATGTTTTTCTAAATTTTAAGGTTTTTCTAAATTTTAAGGTTTTCTAAATTGATTATTATGTCTCTAGAAAATCTGAACACAAAACAAACCACCTAAACAGACTATCAAACACGATAATTTACTACACCAACTACAGGATTTCTATGTTCGACATTAAAGAGAAGGTTGAGTTCTGGGAAAAGGTGAAAAATAATTTGTAAGCGTTATCATTGGTATTATGCTAGTGTGGAAGAACATCAGATAAAACATGTTCCCTGAAAAGCATTGCTCTTCAAATGCCTTAATATTCTAAATATGGCAAGTAGCATCATAAAAATCAGGAAGGATTTTTATACCACATGCTTGTGTAGTCCCATATACATCTTTTTGTGTTTTTTGTATACAGTATTTATAACTTTACCAAGACTGGGCCAAATTTCTTATCATTTTAATGATTTCAGAACCTTGCAGTACACACCAATACTTATATGCTAGATAATTAACCTTTTCTGATCAATTCCACAACGTTTCTTTCACAATGCAATCGCATGACCAGAACTCAACTTTATCTTTAAGTTGTTAAATAGGTCAGAGTCTATACATGTGATAGGCTTTTCGTCGTGATAATCTATTTGTAGATTGCATAATTTTGCACTTTGTATTTCAAGCACAGAAACCAAAACAAACTTGAGTATCAATTTGTCACTCATTTGAATAAAGGTACACGTAAAATGTAATTGAATCCCGATACCGGTAGTTTGATTATAAACTTCTATAGTTCTGTAAAGAAGGTTCTCAATTTTTTCTACACATGTCCATTTCAAAGTTAATGTAATCAAGGTTGCAAGGTGTATGTCGAAAGTCAGTCGAGCAGTTTTTTGGGAATAATTGCAGTAAACACCTATAATATTGATTCTAAAATGTTGGCTGAATTTCAAGATATGAAGAAAATAACAACAACCTCCAAATCTAAACATGAAGGTGAAAATATATTCATAAACATGAACTTGAACATAAGCAAACATGTAGGGTAAATGTTACAATGACAATGATCGGATTCCAAAGTAGCTCTTGATTATAAGAACCTAATGCAGGATCTGTCCTTTTAAGTATAATCAGGTGATCATCTATCTTGGGTGGTATCGGAGTGGACTGGCCTCAAGGCTCATATCCAACGTATAAAATGATAAGCCACGGTACAATCTATCTATAACTTTCTACTGACAATGAAAGCGGTTTAAACTGTCCATTAATCTTTCTGGAAATCAATTTAAAAACGATAGAAAGTTTTAATCTAGATTACATTATCTTACAAGGAAGGAAGAGAAGTATGTCTCTTTGGCCTTTCTTGTGCTTTTGTCCAATGCAAACTTATACAAGTATAATGTGCCATTTGTTCATCCCATTCTCTTTAATTCAGATGATATTATGATCAAGCTTCGACCTGGATTTTTTCATAAATGTGATAATGCAAGGACTTCCTCTTTCAGTGTTTGGTTCAAATGTGCTTTATATACCACTTAAACATTGTAAAAGTGTTCTTTTGATGGTAGATTATTCTTTACAGAATTCTCTCTCTCTCTCTCTCTCCCTTTTTCCTCCTCTCTCTAGTCTGCACTGTGCCCTTCAACTTTGTCTCAGGGCAGAGTACAGTTTTGAGATAACCTTGGGCAATAGATGAGATTTATTGTATTATACAGTGTTCAATAAGTTTGTTCCGCCCCCCTACAGAAAAGCATTTTATTGTGTTTGAAACTCAATTTGCATCATGCATTTCAGGTTATTTTGTTAATTTTCTCATTTCTAAGCATTATTAGAGATATCACTTCTCAATTTATTAAAAATGTATCTCTCCTTGGTGGTCGGTCACTTTTGAAACACGCTTGGTCCAGTTATCACCCACTAATGACGCAAGGAGGTCCTTATTCATGTCTAGGCTTTTCTATGCTCGTCGGATCCCCTCTTTAAGTTCAGTTATTGTTTTGCAGTATTGAGTTTCAATATTTTTTCTTTCATAATAGACCATAGTTTCTCTATGGGGTTCATTTCTGTCAAAATTTTCTGGCCAGTTCTCTTTCCTTCTCCAAGTTACTGTTGGTCTTGTTGGGTGCCATCTTTAAATGTTTGAGGTTTACAGACCTTTAAATTCCTCCTTTTCAATTTTTGACCTCGTATCTCAGCCCAGCAAAAGGTGTGGTCAATTTCTGCAGGCTTGATGCATTAATATACATCCAGTACATGAACATTTGGTTGGTGACAGACTGCACTATTACTAAAGTAGTCATATGAGCCGTTGAGTTGGCAGATAGGGGCGGAACGAACTTTTTGAACACGGTATATTACCAATGCTCCTTCTCTCCCCTTTCCTTTTCTTCTCTGCAAGTCACACTCTTCTTTATTTTTATTCTTGTATCTAAGTTGAGAGCTGCGGGCACGTCAGGCTACTTTGCTTATTTCTGTAGCCCTCCTGCATCTAATGTATGTTAATTATGCATTCAATATATTTGTTTAATTTCGTTTATTATCTGTATAAAATTATATACACTTAAAATATTGTATCAAACCATATTATGTTCATGAAAATGTATGATGAAAAAAAGAAGGAAAAAAAAAATGCAGAAACCAATAAATCAAATCAAATAGTTTAAGCCGTAAGTCGTATAATAGTAGCTGTGCTTTATAAATTGATCTTGTTATCATCATCATTTGACCTCTACTTGACCCATGCACTGAACTATGACCCCCATTTGACCCCGAAAGGAGGCACGACCCAACATGACCCATATGCATTCTCATTCAGCTTGAGCCCTACTTCACCCAAGCACTGAACTATGACCCCCATTTGACCCCGAAAGGAGGCACGACCCAACATGACCCACATGCATTCTCGTTCAGCTTGACCCCTGCTTGACCCATACACTGACCTATGATCCCCATTTGACTGGGGAAGAAGAAGGTGTGACCTAAGATGACCCAAGCCATACTGATCACACGCAATCCATTCAGACAGCCGATGGTGCGGTCCGCCCCGGGGTTGGTGTTGAGGAGTTTGGCCAGGTTACGGTTGAGAGCAAAGCTAAGCAGGAACTGTTCCCAGATGGCTGTATTAGAGAGAGAGAGAGAGAGAGAGAGAAAGTGAGAGAGAGAGTTAGAGAGAGAGAAAGTGAGAGAGAAAGTGAGAAAGAAAGAGAGACAGAGAGAGAGAGAGAAAGAGAGAGAAAAAGAGAGAGTGGGAGGGAGGGAGAGAAGGAGGGAGTGATAGGGGGAGGGGAAGACAGAGATAGAGGAGAGAGTGGGGATTGAAAGAATTGGAGGGAGATGTGGAGGGGGGTCGAGAGAGAGAGAGAGAGAGAGAGAGAGAGAAAATAAACAAAAGTGAGAAAGAAGTTCCATGATCTGAGTTAGTATAGTTTGCTCGTCCGATTTTAACCACTCAATCATCAGGTACTGAATCTAGGCCAGAGTTGGTGGCTAGGCATCTCAATCTTCTTTGACCATCGATTCTTGGTCGGACTTTGTAGCAAAGTAGCAAAGTCCTGTCCATTCACTGTCTGCATCCACCCCACTCTGCATGATTTCCTTATAGCATTTAAAGGTACAGACCAGTTTTGGAAACGCCCCCGTCTCAAAAAATGAAATGGAAGCTCTCATTACCAATCATGTGAAAGAATATGTTTTGACCAATACGTGATCATACAAATTTTGCCGAGAAACCGCTTACTAATTGATATATTTGGTAAATTATTATATCTATTTGGACCTGATAGATATAACGCACATGTCGCACACGTGTGAGTAGTCCTATATACATCTTTCTGTGTACAGTGCTTGTAACTTTACCAAGACTGGGCCAAATTTCTTATCATTTTGATGATTCCAGAACCTTGCAGTACAATACTTATATGCTAGATGAACAACCTTTTCTGAATGATTCCACAACATTTCTTTCACAATGCAATCGCATGACCATAACTGGTCTTTATCTTTAAATTACGATCATCAAAGGACAAGTCCAAAGTATTTGGTTATTTGATTTGTCTTAGATAGCTTAGCAAAGTGAAGTGGCACAAAAAGATGGGTCCAGAATGCAAAATACATAATTGTTGATGAATTGTATTTCCATGCCATTAAAGTAGACCATGACAGTAGAATAGGGAGCTAGTAGTGATCTCTTTTGCCTTTATTAGACGTAATAATACTAACACTTTAGAAATGCTAGCGAGATATGTCAAATTACAATCTTTTTATTTCCCAACATCATTATCCATTATGCCCTCTGCGTTTTGGATGCAACTTTTTGTGTCGCATTTCGCTAATCTACCTTATGTTCTCATGCATCTGAAGTTCTGAACATTCATTTAGATGAAATGTGATGATTCACTTAATACTTGGTCTGATCTAAACTCTACTAGGACTGAGTACTTTAAAACTACTACAATAACCAGATATCAGATAGCTTGGACTTCCCCATATATCCTTGCATCCTTTCAAAGTTTCTTTCTATGGGTGACAAAAACTGAAATCTAGTTTTCATATTAACATGAAAAACACAAAACCTGCATCAAAATTTCAATTAGACAAAACAACAGATGAGCAGTGTCCCCACATGTTGCTCAGATACATTTTCAAGATAAAATACTCTACCATGTTTCGGTGGCTCTTGTACAAGTATGAGAGGTGTATCATCGTCTTTCGTCTCTGCGGTATCATCGTTTATGGGGGCCTCGCCCGCTCTACCATTCTGGGCGGAGTTGTTCGTACTGGTGTTAGTGTACACGACCATCTTTGAGGAATTCTTCCTGTGATACCGGAGGTAACAGTCATAGGCCGCGCCTAGCAACATCAGCAGGAAGATGGCGCTGAAGAGAGTACTGGGTTTATGGAAAAGATAAAAAGAAAATGAAATGATATTGACATCTAATTGATTGTACATCTTAGGTAACCAATTTTTTTTTTAAGTGCGAAGAAAGGCCCAGTTGATTACATTTGGGTGATTGGACATTCACAACAGCCACATTTGCTCTGGGATATACTTAGTCAAAGAAACACAAGTACTTTTGTTTTAATGGGTTGTCATTGAATTATCTTGTGAATAAGTTTGCTGCCAGGTTTAGGGTCAGGATTACGCATAGAGTTGGATCAGGAATCATCGTCAAAATGGTAGTGCTACTATGAGGATATTCTTCCACACATGAATAGAATTAATGAGAAGGTTCACCTCGCTCAGAAGTACCCTTCTCTTCAAGAGTATCCATACTAATGACAGGGATTGTCATCATTATCAAAATAAGATACCAGGGCAGATATTCAATTCAGTAATCACTACTTATAGTAAGAAATATGAGTATTTTATTAAGTTTTCGACTTAGATAAAAGACTTAGCCAACTTTGGTATTCATTTGAAGCTTTTGGCTGAGTATTTTACTCTAAAATTTAAGACATCTCCTTAACAGACTTAAGCCAATTGTCATGGAGGCCTTGATGGGCCCACATATGGTTTTTATATTAGTGCGCTTTTAATGTGATGCGTTAATTGCGCATTATTTCTGATTGATAATGTGAAGTCATAATAATTATCAGTTAGTATTTTACCTTAAAGTCGGCTTACTAAAGTCAAATGCTAAGATGTGATTTGAAATTGGGTTAAAGCTTATCTTCCGTAGTTTATAGGAGGGATTAGGCTGCCCTGCAAGGTCACTGGACAGGTGGTTATATCATTAACTCAGCTCTCAGTTAAAGATAAACTCCAGTACTGGTAAAAAAAATTAAAAAAATTCTCACAGAATCAAACAAAACTTACACTAAATGTTCAAGATTACAAATAAATGACATGTGCAAAACAATTTTGGAAGAAAATGTATACTGGCTGAGTAATGAGCAAAGAAAGACAAGGAAATCAGGGTAGTACTAGCCCCGACACCATGACTGTTGTCCCATATATATCTTTTTGTGTACAGTGCTTGTTACTTTACCAAGACTCGGTCAAGTTTATTATGATTTTGATGACTCCAGAACCTTGCAGTGCACACCAATACTTACATGCTACATGATCAACTGTTTCTGATTCTTTCCACACCTTTTCTTTCACAATACAATCGCATTACCAGTACTAAAGTTTATCTTTAACTTAAGAAAAAGAGGATCATGGGGGACCAATGGTCACCGATTAGTCATCGTTTGTTATATAGAGGGCGCAAGTTGCTGCAAGTAGTGCAGTGGGCCTTTAAGACATATTACTTAGCAAAGTAAAATACTGACTTAATCCATGTACTGAATTGAATATGGCCCAAGTTATGATACATGTACATGCTATGACGTGTCTAGGGGACATGTCACCGGACTATAGATCACATGGTTTGCTGCTGGGGTTCCACCGCAGCACTAATGTCCTTTGGTAAGACATTAATCTACATTTGCCACTCTCCACCCAGATGTAGTAAATGGGTATCTGGAAGAAATTTATTCCTTGAATGCTCAGAGCACCTTAGGGCAGCTGGGCTAAAGCCGGGTACTAATAACCATTTTTATAAACTGCTAAGCAATTTGATGGTCTTTTTCTCTCTCTTTCTTTCTCTCTCTCTCTCTTTCTCTCTCTCTTTCTCTCTCTCACTACTTTTACTGTCCAATACAATGTACCTGTACACATTGAGATATCATGGTGAAAAACAGTGGCAAAACTTACATGGTGCCCACAAAACCGGCGCTGTAAGGAATATGATCTTCATATGCGCAGCTGACAAAAGACTTATCATTAGCTGGCTCTATGTACTTGGTCAAGTTCAGCATTTCTGTCAGATGAGAGGAGAAAAGAGCAAAATCAATTTTCATAATTGAAATAGGACATGAAGATTAGGGGGGGGGGGTGGAAAGGGCAGGATATGTATAAGCTTTCTGGACTGAGAAACCAGTCTCAAATGAAGAAAAAAATAAGACCTCCAGATGACACTATGAAATTATGAAATGAGTGTGCATACATGTAGATGTGATACAAGGAGCACAATCATGTAATAGAGTGGTGAAGTGTGACGTCATCAAAATATATTTTTACAATTTCTCAATTTTTTTCTTCATTTTCCAAAAGAGCATCAAAAATAATGTCCAAATGTCGAAAACCAATTCAATATGTTAAGTACTGGCTGAGATATGACCATCTGAAGAAATAGATTTCCAAAAGGAACTCAGTGTTATTTTTCTCTGATTCATAACATTAGGAACCAGAGCAATATAACACTGAGTTCCTATAGGAAATCTATTTCTTCAGATGTCACAATTTCGGACTCTATGTAGACTAGACAAGATGTTTGCCAAAAATGTGACGGACATATAGAACAAAGGAAGGCAGCAATTAAAAAATATTGTATACAATAAAAACAATTTTTTTTTTAAATGAGCCACTGTATATGATTTTAAAGAGACCTCTCAAAATAACATTTCTGTCAATCAGTTCTAATGCATAAAATCTCTGAACAATATGACTTCAATAACATCCTGAAAGGTCTTATTTTCTTATTTTCATTGACAGCCCGTCTTCAAAATATAATTTTATAAGGAAAGGCGTTAGATATGGCAATATGGCCATATACATGTCATATGAGACTTCATTATTCCACCTAGGTATAATTACTTTCATGCAAATAAAGCGTGGATGGCTGGGCATCAACTCCTGGGACTTTGAAGTTTGAGCCACTGATGCATGTCTACAGACTGAGCAAACAAGTACTACACAGGCACAAGGCCATGACTGTACAATTAATGTATTTACTTTAAAAGTTTATGTACACAATATACTGTACATATCCAAGTCTAGAACAAAATTCAGTACCACACATGACTACAAAGATCAATATATTTCATGTCCAGTATTTCAAAATAACATGTCCTTGAAAACTATTTATTTAATTATCTATTTTATTCTTATAAAGACACAAATATAAGTTTCCTAGTAGTTAAAAATGCTGTAAAAAACATTTGTTTCACAATTTAAAAAAAAATCTACTTCCTTTCTTTAAAAAAAATTTGACTATTATTATTATTTTCCTCCGTATTGGAACAAATTCACTCACACATCAAACTGCACAGATTTCAAGAAAGATATACCGGTAATCAATCAAACTTGAGTTTCCAAACTATTTCTGAGGGTTTTATTTGACCAACTATTGCTACAAGATAATGAGAGGGAAACTAAAAGTAGTTTCTCATTTCTCTAAGAATTTGCAACTTCAAAGAAAACAAGATCTTAAGAAAAGTAATACCAAGTGAAAGAAAAAACAAATTGTAGAAACTGATAAGAGTATTGTCCAGGTTTATCTTCGTCCAATATTGTAGCCAATGGACTACTTAGTTTCAGGTTGAAAGCTATAATTAGTATACATGATCAAGTGTCTTTCACAATACACAGGTTTCAAGTGCGTGATGTACATGTATATAAACATAGAAAATGTTAAATTCACGATTGCACATACCGGCAGATGTTTGTATCTGTACTAATCTGGTACAAGTACTACTTACACATGTACATGTATTATGTTAAAGCCCCCACTGCACTAGCTTGGCCAGGAGGGATTAGACCTCCCTGCATGGTCACTGACAGGTGGCTATCTCATCAAATCAGCTCTCAATGAACATACGAAAAAGAGGATCATGGGGGGCCAAGGGACACCGATTAGGCACTGCTTGCTGTATAGAGGGCGCAAGAAACTATAAGTAGTGCAGTGGGCATTTAATATACACATATTGTATTAAACTGTAGAGAGCCATTTATATATATATATATATATATATATATATATATATATATATACATATATATATATATACATATATTGAAGAGTGTCATGTGGTTTTTCTTACACATTATGTTACCTTTTTATGAAGTATGAACCTGGCCTCAACTAACAATAATTATGATGCAGGAGTTAACACTTAAACAACTGGACAGATGATCTTGAACATTGGTTTACATGTATAGACATCTACCCATAAAGATACTCTTAGAAGAATGTACCTGCTTTAAAGTGGTTTTGTCTCAATTAAAAATATCCAGAAGAGATTGTCTACTTCATAAAAAGGAATACTTAAAGATAAAGAAAAATGTCCACTTACCTACAAAGACGTATAAGTAATTTTGGATATCTGTCTCGGTACATTGCTTAGGCACACACACACCCCAGGCAAGCAGAACCTCTGGCGACTGTAGTGAGATAAAAAAGAGATTTGACGTTAATCTACATTTGCCACTCTCCACCCAGGTGTAAAATGGCTACCTGATATGCTTGAGCGCTAGTTACTTTGACAGCTTGGCTACAAACAGGGTAATACCTGTATGTGTACAGGGCCATGAGCATCAGAGCCGGGTAGATACCGGCACTATATAAATATCCATATTATCATTATTATTGATGGTTACTGCAGGAAAAAGGAATAGATACAGGTCATCTGTTTGGAGCCAGGAGAGCGTTAATTTTGTGTGAAAAGACTTGGCTCCAACCAACTACCGTATGTACTAATATCTTCATTTTTCTTTTCAATCATGGTATTACAGCAGGCATGGGCCACTATGCCTAAAAGCGTACTAACATAGTCCAGGACCCCATTTCCTAAAAATTGTTATCCATAACAAATGCAAAATTTCCTATGACAAATTTGCTCTCAGCCAATCGGATGCCTCAATTTCAGTAGATGTTAACAGTTATCGTGACTTGTCATTAATATCAAGTTTTATGAAACAGGGCGCAGATTTTTTAGGGTAGGTTCAGTCCACTGATCTGCAGAGGGCCAGAGTGTCCGCCTCTTCCTACTTTGAATATTTTCATAATTCTGTTACAAGACAGAGCAAAATTCATGTCCATATGAAGTCATCTTCTTATTCTGATTTCGTGACTGGATAAATTTTGAGACTTCATTGGGATGACAGTAATTTATACAAAATAAAGAGCTTCACAATTTGCACTTCTTCAATCAGTGGACTACCTTAAATCTGGTTTACAGTAACTACCTCCACCTTTATCAATACAACTACAAGCCCAAAGTACATGTATTGGATGTCAGAGAAAAATTTTGATGACAGAAAATCAGTTCCACCTACTGAAAACAAACAAAATGCAAAGTGATTGTTCAACACTACAATTAATTGAAACCCGGGCATTATGTCATAAGTACAAGTTCAACAACATCATATTGAAGCGCATGTTAAATTTGATACAAACGTTTCAACAGGTTGTCAGCCAACTTGTACTTTTGATGGTTGTGTGAAACGCTGCCCTGCCGCATATAATTTGGGTATACATTATGTGTAAAAGAATAGCAAAGAGCCACTATTTATGTACATGTACCATTCCCACATAGTGCACTGTACCATGGGTGTCGATCCTAACGTAATACCTATTCATCAGGGGGGGATGAATGAATAGATCATCCCCCCCTGATGAATAGGTATCAGTTACAGATCGACACCCATGCACTGTACACAGTCTCATTCGAAAGTAAATATAATTATTTCCAGCAAATTTTCACTTTGTAAATATTTTGCTGTCCCAAGGAACTGATAAACAATTATATAAACAAATGCAGCACATCTGTAAAGGTCCTTTTTTCAATCTGACAGAAATGCCTTTAATAGCATAATTTAAAAATTGAAGTAGCAGAATATGTTTTGCCTTTAGCTTTTTTTTTTTTTTAGGGGGTGGCAAATTATTCTTTGATCATCTTACCTTAGTTTGGGTTATGGCAGTGAAATTGACATCAAAGAACGTTGCACAGTACTTGTACTGAATGTTATATTCTGGAACTTTGATTGAGCGGCATTCATCGTAGTGACCCAGCCAGTGCAGATTGCCTTGTAATATGCCAGCTTGAGGCTTGCCAAATGCATCGAAAACTGTCAAGAGAAGAAAACAAAAAATTATTAGTAAATGTTGTAAAAGACATTATCTAAATCTACATGAGCCACTCTCCACCAGAGTGATAAATGGATACCAATGGGAAGGAATTCCTCAAATACTGGGAGCCCCGAGATAAATAGCCTAGCTAGAGCCAGGGTAATAATCTTCCTCAACATATCCGACAGGCACCCACTTTTTCTAATTTCATATCTCCAGCTAATACCCCCCCCCCCCTTTACCGTCTCACTTAGTACAGTGTAAATTATTTACATTGCCCTTACTAATAATATTAGTTATTTCTGTAGTTGTATGTGATATATTATATCACTTAGTTATCCTAAGTTGTTTTTATCTTTCTTTTGATATGATGTTAGTTGCTCCTGTCGTATCATCTTTAAATTGTTCTTACCCTTGATTAGTATTTAGTACTTTTTAATATGAAATCTATTTCACATTTTAAAAACATCATTTATTATGCGCTCTATAAATAATTGTTGTTATATTGATATTAGAGCACCTCAAGCTCCTTGCGTGGTGGATACATGCGCTCTAAAACTATCCACTATTATTATTATTATAGGACAACCGTACAATTCAACCCATACAAAGAAATACATGTACCATATTCCTGGAGTTGAGTCGACGTTGGTTGAAGTAGAATTTCAATGGCCTCAACGCATTCCTTTGAGGCATTTCCTGGCACGCCCCCTAGTGTCATCTTTCGTTCAGCCTCAACCACGCCTTGGATGACCTTTGGTGTGATGGCCTCCGTCAGCGCTGCCATGGCAACCAGCAAAATGGCCGCTGCCAAGCACTTGCTCTTCAGCAATTCCATCTGAAATTGTGGGGTAACACAGGTAGGAAAGGAAAAATGTACACAAGTCTGGTTAGTAAACATTTGAATCCACGTTTTCTTACTCTCAACTTTCAGCGACTGCCAAAAGCATGAAGCATCACAACTTTCGCAAGAGGTCAAGATTTGTTTCTTGGCAACCAGCAAAATGGCTGTTGCCAAGCACTTACTCTTCAGCAAAAATGTACACGAGTCTGGTTTAATGGTAAACATTTTAATCTTTCTTACACTCAACAATATTGTATCACTTCTTGACTTTCCCAGAAACTGCACAACTTTTGTAAAAGGTAGAGATTTGTTTCATGCCACAAAATATCCAAACAACAATACAAAAGATTAAAATCATATCGGTGAACAACATTTTTAAAATGTTGTTATTCGTGCAAGTTCTTCAACACTATTCATATCATGAAACTTACAGGTTTGACACTTACTATCACACAAAAGAGAAGCCGTAAGGAACTAAGGATGAAGAACTGCCAGTACCATCTATGAAATTGCTGTGCACAATATATCAACCTCTCAGGAACGTTTGCTTTTTATAGTAAATTAATCAATGAATGAACAATGCTCCTGTGCAAAGTAGAGGCAAGAGTGTACACACAAATACCGGTATATATAAATGTACAAAAATGTAAAATGTGTGGTGAAATGACATTCAACTTAAGTACTTTAGTGAACAAAAGATTACGTAATGGTTGTTTGTAATTAACCCAATTTGACAATATTATTTTCCACAAATTTACGGTTAATTCTTAACAAAATTGATTTACATCAGCCATTAAGGTACATTGTTGTTCTTGGGTTGATTTTAATTGATAAAACAAAATGCCAGAGAATCCATTCATGTTCTGTGGTAGGAGGGGTTTGTAACCACACTGTCAGATGACATGACCACATTACAAGTACACTGTATATGCAGTAATTACAAGCACTTTTGGAAAGAGAGAGAGAGAGAGAGAAGAAAAAAAAGTCAAGAGGTTGGTATTGTAGCCACACGTGTATGATAACACATGTAAAAGCACCATATTCTCTCTTTTCTAAACAAGAGAAAAAAGTTTGGAAGAGAACTTTTCTGAAAGTGCATGACTGCATGTACAATCATGTAGTTTCTTGCCCCCTGCCCCTACACAAACACACACAAAGTCTACTGATCGGTCATACCAAGAAGTTACTAGCCTCTTGGTCATACCACACACTACCCATTGTAATTACATGTATGTACATGATCACATGGTGCTGACTATCGTGATGTTGAACAAAAGTTCTAAAGGTCGAGCCTTGGTCTATACATGTATTTAGCAATGACATTATCAAACCGATGACACTAATGACATCATCAAACATAGTGAACAAACTAGGACACACCGGTTCCCTGTTTCACAAAACTTTATATAAATAACAACTGACAATAACTGTTATAAGCTACTAAAATCATGGCATCTGATTGGCTGAGAGCAAATTTGTCAAAGATATTTAGCAATTGTTATTTCAAAGAAGTTTTATGAAACAGGGCCCTGGTGAATATATTCACTTTTATTTTGCATAAAAGTTTTCCCCCAGGATTGTTATCATTTTCATGCCCATAATTCACTATGATCAACAAATCGTTCGATCATGTCTCCTTAGATCAAGATTAATGTAAAGTTCCTAAACTAAATTAAATTAAAAATGAAGTTATTCCATCGCCAAACAAATGAAAAGGGTATTTATGATGAATAAAAGAATTCCTTTTCAAATAGGCCATTTTTGTAATGTAATCTTTGTTGAGTGCCACTTACAAAAATTATTTCATCCAACTTTTACAAATAATTGTATTTCAATAGTATGAATGAAAACTGCATTACATGTATTATGTGTTGTTACATAGAACAAGCCACAATGTTTGTCCAACCTAGCAAGAATTAATGTATGCAATTCGCAATCTGACTTTGAAATACAATTATTTGTGGATTGAATTTGATTACGAAAATGGTCTATTGGCAAACTAGTTGCAGACTAGTATGAATTTAACTCTAGGAGCATTTACATGTACATGTATTTAAACCAGCCACTAATGACCAGTAATGACTCAAGGTGGTGGCGTATTATAACAACAGATTTGGGGTGGGATTTTGGTTGTTAATGGAAAACAATTGTGTATTGTTAAATGCAATGATCACACTCTTTCCATGAATTTCACAATGAATGACGAGGAAGCACATGTTCATGATAAAACTACATGTACCTCATGAGAAATTTTGCAAGTTCATTAGTGGAAGGAAGTTATCACAAAAGGGACCACCATTTACTAGTACCGGTAATGGATTCATAATTGATTAATAAAAAAAGAATGCTTTAATAACCTTTGAGTTGACACAATGCAACTAAGGAAAGCAGGTCATAAATAACAATAATAACTAGTTCAAAAAAAAAATTGCTTCAGATCGAGAGCACTTCTTTTAGGTTTGCTATAAAACCACTGATATTTTACTGCAGTGATTCTTATGTAATTTTTCCTCTCATTTGCCGGAGTTCCATTTCAGTTTTCCTAGAGCTGTTTCGAAGCTTCCAGAGCTACAGTATACCACTCAGTCACCCCGACCAAGACAAGACCAAGTATCCGCCTCACTATGCAGACATTTACTGTGACTGTGAGTGATACATGTATTTTGTTGTGTACAGTACTGAGTTTAAAGGTAAAGACCAGTTTTGGAAATGCCCCAATTTCAAAAAATGAAATTGAAGCTCTCATTACCAATCATGTGAAAGAATATGTTTTGACTAATACATGATGATAAAAAATTTGCCGGGAAACCGCCTACTAATTCATATATTTGGTAAATTTGTTTCTCTCATGGTCTGTGAGAGATATAGGGTAGTCCCATATACATCTTTCTGTGTATAGTGCTTGTAACTTTACGAAGAATGGGCCAAATTTCTTATCATTTTGATGATTCCAGAACCTTGCAGATGCTAGATGCTAGATGATCAACCTTTTCTGATCGATTCCACAACGTTTCTTTCACAATGCAATCGCATGACCATAACTGGTCTTTACCTTTAATTCAATTTCTTATATATTAATCTAAAGCCCTTACTTTCTTCTGATTATGCAAGACTGTTACACTGCAAGTTTCTGTGCAATTAATTATTCTGATTTCACTTTCTGTAATCAGAAGTTTCAAGTAGCAATGAAAGCAAGCCTCTTGAAAAGGAAGTCTTTCTGTACCATCATTCTGTACAACATGATCTATGTTAAATGTGTTTGTTTGTGTTTTGTATGTTTTTGTATTTGACCTGATTTTACTTTCTGTAACTATTAAGGTAAGAAAGAGAACTTGTCATGCAATTTCTGTGTTGATCGAGTACGCAGTAAAATAGGAAATGTTGTGTTTACGAAGGCCATAAAATTAACAGAGTTACATAATGAATTGACAAAAAATTGACAGGGATGGGTATGCCTGTATATGCCTGTACATGGGAATAAACTCCTGTAATCATGGAAGATTTCCATAGACGTATCATGTTCCCCTGCTAAAATTGATCTATATTACAGCTCTAGCCTACATTCTAAAAGAGGGCGATTCTTTGATGGGGGTTGAGTAAAAAAAAAGTGGCCTAATTTTTTGTGGGTATTATAAAAGAAAATTAAATATTAAATAAAAATGATAAAATAAACGAAAACAAAATTTCTTGTATTGCCTCATTTCACTTTTTTCTATCTCTTATTGTGGACCAAATAATTCAGGTGTTACTGTAATCATATCTGATTGATACACATCTACATTGTGTAAATGTAAATCCAATCACAAGCACACACACTCAACATTTTCTCTTTCAATCTCATTAGCTTATAAAAATAGTCCATTTAAGAGGCTGGTACTCAACAGGAAGAAGAAGAAGATCTCTTCTACGATACACAGGTCTGACAGTACATGTACATGTAAATACAAAATATGAGCACATTTTGACACTTCCTTGTACAAAAAATGTACATGTAAGGTCTAGTAGTTGGACATCTTTAGTAGACCTAGTTTAGAATAAGCTTCATAAGTCTTGTAGATTTTATTGAGGTGATTATACAAATGTATATTTTCTGATTTCTTAAAATCCTTACAGAGCCAGCAGAATAACTAGATGCAGGTCTACATTGTACAGGATTTTGTCCCTTCAATTCAATTCAATTCAATTCAATTCAGAACTTTATTTCAGACTCAGCTGCACAAGGCAGAGGTCCATAAAACATATGTTACATATAGATAGGGAAAAGAGCCGAGTATGAACATGATGAGTATAACAACAACAAATCGTACAAATTCTAATATCTTGATTTAATTAAAACAAAAAACAAAAAAGTGTTCGAGAGTAGGCCTAATATTTTAATAACAATAGGAATTCATAAACCAACACAACAGTGATGTTAAAGTACTATATAGATCACAACAGTAGCAGCATTAATTACTAAATAGCAATGATTTGTGTTGCAAATAACTAATGTCTTCAACTCTTCATGACTTAGGTCTAGGTATATGTTTGTTGCATGTTGTGGACACGGCCCGGTCGGTGCAAAGTTCATTGTGCACGGTGCGAGCTTAGATAAGACTCTTAGGAGGCGTAGGCCACAAGGCCCCGGCCCCGCTGCTCCTGGCGATGGCGTGAGCCGTGCTTGCTGAATATTTACATGTACTAAAGTCTCCGAAAGAGTTGTGTCAACAGCAAACTACCTTCTCTTGCTATATCATACTCATATTCTCCTTGCGAAGGTAGCAGTTAGTCAAAATCTAGAGTTAAAACCAGTTTTTCAAACTTACCTTTCTAAATTTTCCCATTCAGACAGGTAAATGACGTTGTTGTACAACAATGAATGCTCAACGTCAGGTGATTATTGCCGTAGTTGTTGTTGTTGTTGTTGTTTGGTATTAGTCTAACTACCATACGTTTTTATTTCATCGCTTGGTGGTCATTTGATTTCCTATCCATCTGATCATTCGAATACAGTGCACTGGATTTTTCATTAATAACATTAATCAAATTATCAGGGAGATTTTTGAATTGTTATTATTTTATAAAAATATTTCTTGTCTTTGGCCCTGTGAAATTAATAGTGCGTCTGCAGAATAGAATAATTAATATTTCTCAATAGCTCTCGACCCCTCTATCAGCCCCCCCCCCCCCCTCTCTCTCTCTCTCTCTCTCTCTCTCTCTCTCTCTCTCTCCCTTTCTCTCTCCCTTATCTCCCTCTCCCTCTCCCTCCCTCCCCTCCTCTTTCTTTCTATCTCTATTTCCTCTTTTTCTCTCTCACTCACTACTCTCCATCTCCTCAACTTTTCTGACAATTAATATTCAAGTAGGCCGGGTCATAAATGAAAATCGAAAGGCCTAAATGTATTTATTATTTTTATTTATAGAGGGGGATTAAAAAATATAGGTCTATCCTTGATCTCCTTTTGCTTTGTTTTGTTTTTTATTCTGACCAATCTACTGATTAGTAAAATATGCATTTATTAAAGGTACTATGTCCCTTTTGCAGCCAACCTCAAATGCTGTATAACTTTGCAGGAATTATGAATATGTCATGTATGTCCTATCTGTGAAATTTAAACGTTAGCAGTGTTCTCATATTCAAATTATGCAAGGAAACCCGTTTACTTGCTAGACTTCACTGTCAAACACTATTGAGTGAATGACTGGCTTTTTTTCTTCTTTGGTAATAACATACTGTACATGAAAAGAGTTGTAAAGGGTACATGGGCATATACATCAATAACCCACTTCTTGTGATGGCCAAGATTAAACTGATTGAATCTCTGCGCAGCATAAAACGTATGACCATTTGGTACAGTTGTCTGAAAATCAAGACTATTACTTTTGGGCTCTATAGCCCTAAAGTCGATATGAAAACTAATAGTCGTTATTTTCCCACTTTAAGACGTTTTCAAGCCCCACCTTTTTTAGGGAAGTTCGAAATTAGTATTATCTTTCAAATGCAGTTGGAATTTAACTTTTTCATTTTTTTGGCCTGCAAATGGGACATAGTACCTTTAACTGTCTTTGGCATTTTAGCCTCCTTCGGCTCTCTAAGAATAACAAGACATGAAAGTCAATAGCAGTGGCGTAGACAGGCTCGTACACCTGGGGGGATGACTGGGCTGCCAACGCTAGTGAGGGCGCGAAGCGCCCGAGCGAGGGAGCGAAGCGACCGAGCGGGGGGAGGGTGTGGGAGGGGGGTGCCCCCTCCCACGGTAGGGAGCTTTTGCAATTTTGAACTTGAAATCGTGCAATCTGATGCATACTTTTTTTTTTCTTTTTTTTTCTTCTGGTTATATTGATAGCATAACTTTGTTTATAAAGGTCGAGTAGAAGCTGTGACAATAAGTTGTTTTATACCATTAATTCGGATACTGACAGGTTAAAGAAAAGAGGAATGGGTATGTTGGACATTGGCGGGTTCTTACTTTGATTATTTGATTTCAAGGAAGAGGGGGTGAATTGTGGGCAGTCTTTGCTTGGGAAGGTCTTGCAAAGCTACTACTCAGGAAATAAATACTTTCTTGAGTAGTTTTTTTTTTTTTAATTTTAAGGTTTGGTTGTTGTTGTTGTTGTTGTTGTTTTTTTTTTGTTTTTTTTTTTTGTTTTAATTTTTTTTAAAAATTGTAATGTTGTATGTATATTATGTTTTGGTATGCTGTTGTGTGTGTGTTGGTGGGGTTACTCTCATTTTTTTTTGCGGGAATCGCAGTCTCTTAGGTAAATGTGTAACTTGTTCTCGTATCATGAGGTATCACTTGAAACAGATATATTACTTTGCTTCGCCGTCCTCCGCTAAATATTCAATGTTTAAATTTGATTACGAAAAGGGCAGAAATATTTTTAAAAATCAATGGATAATATAAGTACATCTTTTGTATGTAACTTCCTTTCTCTAAACGTTAAGGGAATTCGAGAAAAATTAAAGAGACAGAAAATATTGATGTGGTGTAAAGATAAACGGTCGGATATAGTGTTTTTACAGGAAACGTATAGCACCAACGAAGTAGAAAACGAATGGAAGGCACTATGGAATGGTAGTTCGTATTTTAGTCATGGGACAAGTCATAGTAAAGGGGTTCTTATTTTGTTTGATTCTAAACTAGATATTCAAGTCATTAATGTAATTGCAGATGATAATGGTAGGTTTATTATAATGGAGTGCATTATACAAGGGTTAAGGCTTACAATAGCCAATGTATATTTCCCAGTTCGTTCGAAGGAATTAGAACAAATTAATTTTTTACTCGAGTTTGAAAAAGCCCTTACAACGGTTAATGGAAAAAATAATCAGCTAATAATAGGAGGTGATTTCAACATGATCAGCAATTTTAACCTGGATTACATGGGAACTGGTAAACGAAAGGTTCTCTCAAAATTTGGTAGACTCTTTGAAAATTTTGTGGATAGATTAAATTTGATTGATATTTGGAGAGTGCGAAATGGAATGAAAAAACAATTTACGTATAGACAAATCAATCCTTTTATGCAAAGTCGACTTGATTATTGGTTTGTATCCGAAAAACTAGATGAAATAATATCAAAATGCAATATAATATCATCTATAGCTCCTGATCATTCAGCTGTACAACTAAACTTTCTTAATTTACCTTCGAATGATATCAAATTCAAGGGATCTTATTGGAAATTTAATAATAGTTTATGTAAAGATGAAAAGTTCATCGTGTTAATGAAAACCGCAATCATTGAACTGAAAGAGGACTATAAAACAGAAATAGAAAGTAAAAGAGTTTTATGGGATTTTTTGAAAATGAAAATAAACAGTTTTATCAGAAAATATTCGAAAGAAAAAGCAAAGCTCAGAAAGGAAAAAATTGGGAGTCTAGAAATAGAAATACTCTCCCTTGAAGAAGATCTTTTGAAAGCAGTAGATAATGAGAAGATTGCATCTTTAGAACTGAAACGAAGAGAATTAAAAGCATGCTATGATTATATTAATGAAGGACTTAAAATTCGTTCTAGAGCATCGTACTTTGAAAGAGGAGAAACAAATACTAATTACTTTACCCAATTGATGGAATCAAATAAGAGAAAAACAGTAATCAGAAAACTAATGATAAATGAAGAGAAAATAAGTTTTGATCAGAGAGATATAATTAAAGAAATACACAAGTTTTATAGCAAACTATATGCGCATTCCACGGTAGATTCCAATTCTAGTGATGCTTTTTTCACAAATCTACCCAAACTAAATCCAGACTCTATGGATATTTGTGAAGGGAAAGTTACAGAGAGGGAATGTATGGCAGTTTTGAAAGAAATGAAATTTAACAAAACACCAGGTAACGATGGTTTAAGTGTTGAATTTTATTCATTATTTTGGCCGGTAATAGGAGACGTAGTGGTCGATGCTTTGAATGAATCCTTTTGTGAGGGAGAACTCTCCCACTCACAAAAACAGGCAGTAATTACTTTAATTCATAAAGAAGGCAAAGATCCGTTACAAATTAAAAACTACAGACCCATTTCCTTACTTAATGTGGACTACAAGATTTTAACAAAAGCTCTTTCAACAAGAATTAAAAAAGTATTACCAGAAGTTATTTGGATTGATCAGGTGGGATATCTAAAGGGAAGAAATATAGGTGAAGCTATTCGGTTAATTGACGACATGATCTTTCATACAACTCAAAATAAAATACCTGCTTATTTGTTAGCGATAGATTTTGAAAAAGCGTTTGACTCGGTTTCACACATGTTTTTACAAAAGGTCTTAGTAGCCTTTGGTTTTGGACCGATATTTTGTAAATGGGTGAAAATAATTTATAATAAGGCTCAAAGTTGTGTTTTCAATGGACAAGTATCAACTGGATATTTTTCTATTCAGAAAGGTGTAAGACAAGGTGATCCTTTGTCTGCATATTTATTTTTACTTTGCATTGAGATTCTTGCTCGCGCAATCCGCAGCGACTCGGCTATTCATGGGATTCCCTTTGATGATATTCACGTTAAACAAATTCTTTATGCAGATGACATGTCGGTGTTTGTTCAAGATATTGAATCTTTTAATAGACTAAACTCATTGTTTACTAGTTTTGCAGATATGTCTGGATTGAAGATGAATAGAGACAAAACCTTTGTATTATTGTTGGGTCCTAACGCGGATAAAGATGTAATAGTTCCATTTGGTAAGATAGTAAACATTGTAAAGATATTAGGTATACAGTTTACGTTAGACGTGGAAAGCCAGGAAAAAATCAATTACAAAGAAATCTTAAGTAAAATTAAAAAGCTGCTTATGTGGTGGAAACAAAGAGATTTGACTTTGATGGGGAAAATTCAACTAATTAAGACTTTTGTTTTATCAAAATTAGTATATGTATCATCACTTACACCTGTACCGCCGTGGGCATTCCGTGAAATTGAAGTGTTAATATTTGATTTTTTATGGAATGGAAAAGATAAAATCAAAAGGAGTACTATGTTTTTAGATTACGATAAGGGAGGTCTTAAATTGACAGATTTTCAATTATTTATTCGAACACAAAGAATCATGTGGATGAAAAGACTTATAACAGGAGATTCAAATATGATTTGGAAACGTTATTTTAAATACCTGACTAGAAAATATGGCGGCCTCTTGATTTTTTTCAGTAATGTATCGCCAGATTTACTTGCATTGTCATTACCAGATTTTTACCGTAGCATGCTGGAGGCTTGGCTGGGGACAAAAGCCTTTTTGCTTAAGAACGAAATTTCAAAAAGAAATCAAATTATTTACAATAATAGATGTATCCGCATTCAGGGGCAAATATGTTTCCATGAAGACTTATTTCTGAAAAATGTTTTTAAAATACATCATATTGTTGATAAGAAAGGTAAATTGAAATCTATCACAGAATTTAAG